GTCCTGGTCTCATTGTATGATGAATTATGATGGCTGTTTGCATACGATGCATACTCTCTCTCTTCATGTGTCTGTGTGTGTTTCTCTGGTGAAATTCAGTATGATTCCTACAACAGTTTTTTGTTAATGTACAATCCTTAATATGTTTTATGTGTGTGTGTGTGTGTGTGTGTGTGTGTGTGGGAGGGGGGAAGGGGGGCGCCAGAGGCTAGGACCGCCACTGGGAGCAGTCCTGGGATGTGCGCCAGTAGTGGCGATAATAAGCTCCGTATGCGAAAAGTATGCACTGTGGGACTTTCTGCGCACTGCAGCGGTTCGGTACTGCGTTACGTAACAGGTGTGTAGTCTCTGCTGAGACTGGCTCGTGAAAACCACGCTGACTCCGGCTCTACGCTCTGCGCTTTGACTGAAAGGCGGTTCTTGAGCTTGTTTTCTGGTCCAGCTTCATATACCAGTGGCATTTGTTACGATGGTTTAACCGACGGCTTCTCTTGTAAACATTTACTAATATAATGACTTTTGGGATGTTTTACTTACTTTACTGCTATTACACTGAGATCATCACATGGCGTTTACTTTGTAACTTGTTCTGATTGGTAAACTTGCTGCCCTCTTCCAAAACACTGTTGCATTGATCCAGCGCACTTTTTGTTGTTTGTTTCTGTCATGCGCCTAAAACTCTGTAGATTAATCAGTAAAAATCTAATTAGGCTAGAAAAAATGCGAAAGGAACTTTCTTTGTAATAAAAATGTATTTTTTTCAATAACCTGTGGGACAGAAGGAAACGGGGATGAAAACTAAGCTGCTTATCAACCATTTAATACGTTTTTCATCCTCTAATTAGACCCTCCCCCAACCAAGAAAAAGTCATCAGCGATTAATAAAACAATAGTCTACTGGTTATAGTCTGTTTCTTCTCTCTCGCTCTCTCTCTCTCTCTCTCTCTCTCTCTCTCTGTTTTTTATTATGGGAACAAAGAGTTTCGGAGGTTCAGACGTCGCACTGCACTTTGGTTAAGTAAGGGGCAGAATAACAGAAATACTCACCCCCACCATTCTTGTAGCAAAGATATGGAAATCTCCACACGTTGCCAAGTCCAATAATAGCACCGGCCACAGACAGGATGAACTCCTTTTTGCTGCCCCACTTGCCACGCTCTTCAACAGTTTTTAAAGTGGTCTTTGTGGAGGAATGGAAGAGCCTGTGCAGAGAGTCTGCCATGCTGCTGTGCAGAGATCTTACCTAATGGTAACTGGCACAAGTCCCCGAGTTTCTGGAGTGACGAGCTGGGGACCGTGTCATGCAGATGTGCACGAGCTTACCTAAATGTTACCCAATTGTTACCTAACCGTCCGACTGTGAGGCCACAAACCGAACTTTGCAAGACTGTCGGGCCAGCAGCCGACTACTCAGTGAAGTCCAGCTTCCTCCTTAATTGTTTTTTGTTTTGTTTTTTTTTTTTTTATCTAATAGAATTATTTCAAAATGTAGCAATTCACTGTGCGTGCAGATGTTATAACACGACCAACAGCCTCCTCCTCTGACGGCGAAGAAACGTGCTTACCTGTCAAAATCCGTTACGCCCACAGGTGTTTTGTGATATATATATATATATATATATATATATATACTATGTGTGTGTGTGTATGTATGGATGATCATTTAAGAAAGAGTGCGTAATATAGAGATTACTGTTTGGCATCTTTAATCTACAACTGTAATTTCCACATTTCGACTTTTTCTCGAAATACAATTACGACTTTAATCTGAAAATCAAAATGATCGAAAGTCATTTTTTTCTTAATGTGGCTCAAATAC